TTCCCTCTTATGCTATCCTTGAGGTCAGAGACCCCGTACAGGCACGGAGGACCCATTTTGTCACACAGGCGTCGTGGCCAGAGAGGACAGCGAGGCGGGTGTGGCAGTCTCCTTTCCTGGCTTTGGTATCAAGGATATGTTTGCTTCGTAGAATGAGTCTGAGAGAATTCCATCTTTTTTTTCTATTTTCTGAAATGGTTTATGTAGAATTGGTGATAGTTCTTCTCTGAATATTTGCTAAAATTGACTTGTAAAACCATCTGGTCCGGGGCTTTTTTTGTTTTGAAGTTGTTTTATTCATGTATATTCTTAATGTCTTTGCACAGTTCTGGTTTCCAGTTACTAGTGTTAAGTACATTGAAGCTCTTCTTGAGACCATCAAGTTTCTCAGTTCAGGCAGGATTTTTCCCCCAAGGCTATACTTTGGTCCTGACGGACTTCTTCAGGGGTTTTGTGTGTGTGCGTGCTTCAGCTTGAACTTGCATTTGATTCTTTGTTCTGCTGAGCCGTTGTCTTGTGTGAGGTTACTTGCTACAGATGTAGTTTATTTGATTTTTGTGTTGTCCATCTTTATGAGACCTCTGTGTATAATCATCAGTTATGTTGTTGAAAAGCCCGTATGGATCACAGCTGGGAGGTTGGAGCATTAATTTTAAGAATGGGATCTGTTAATATTGTCCCTAGTGAACAATATGTGTATCAGTATGTGGAACCTGTTTAGTTATATTGGGAATATAGTATGTTACATTATGCTGTTATATTTAGTTAGTATTTTATATTAGACTGGACTAAGAGAATCCCTTTTGTCACTTACTGACCTTAGTCAAGTCATGAAATGTTTCCTAGCATACTTTTTTGTAAATGAAAGCCTAGAAATTACTGTCATTTAGAGATCCCTTTCAGTAACAAAAAAAGGGAGAACCATGGAGTCTTTTTATTCAAGTGAGGCTTATAATGAGGATTGAATGACGAGTAAGAATTACTAGGAGAGGGAAGAAAGGTCATTTCAGTTTATAGTCCTTCTTGTCAAATTCATGGAAATACAGTCAACAGAAAGTGGTAATTAAAGGCATGGAAGAAAGTGCCCAAAACCTGGCACCTTGGACTGCCTTCCCTGAAGGCACTCAGCTTCCTGCTCTGTGGGCCAGGACACTTGTAGCTCTGCCTCACACTGGTCTGTGTCTGCCACCACTTGATGCCACTACCAACACCACCACCGCCACTTGCAACCATTCAGGTCTGACAGTTGTGAACCTCCTGGCTGTAGGACCTTTCTACCTCAGGGATGCATTCATGTCTTAGGGCATCTTTGGTGAGATCATCATTTTCTACCTCCGAGGATGGCTGTTTTTAAGTCTGGCAGAATGGCAAAGACTCAATCCCTATATCAGTAATTTAACACGATTTTGTATGTTCCCATCCTACAAGAGTGCCATGTAGTACCTTATGTATATTTTTAGCAGACTGTCCAATCCCCTTGTTCACAAGCAATTCACTTTAAAAAAAAATAACCTTGCACACTTAGTGGTTGGAATTAATTAAAAAGATCCTGAGTAGAAGGGTGTACAATATAGATGGCGTTATATGTGAAGAAAAGGAAGGTAAGGGCAATAAACTTGATGCTAAGGTGTCCGTGAGAGGAGTACAGAGACAAGGAATGGAAATGGTGGAATTGGCATGGTGACAGACAATCATGGAAAGTTGTTAGAAGGAAAGCCAATACATACATTTAGGAACCCACCCGCAGGCCTGCAGTGAGCCGAGCAGGGAAGGGTTGACAGTAGGACAGAGGGCTGGAGGAGGATTTGTGATGGTACTGGCCCATCCTGCCAGGTCCGCCTGTGTTCCCTTTTTGCCTCTACTGCCCCCTTCATGGTGTTAACTGTTAAGATTCATTTGACATTGCAGTGATCAGTGTGCCTTCCAAATCTAACATGGAAGAGACGATTTCATGTGCATGGAATTGACTGGTCTGTGTTTTAGGATCATTTTAAAAATTACTCATCCCGTGTCGGGTCTATATTGAAAAAGAAGAGCCAGATAACTTATGTCGCTATTAGTCATATTCGACTTGAAAACCCTTAACCAAGTGAGATTGTTAAGTGAGACTAGTGTTGTTATATTTGGACGAGCATCTTTCTTCTTTGTACATCATTCTTTGTCACTTTGTTATACTTAGGTACTCTAGGTTTGCTATGTTATTGAACTTTGTTCCATTGGGGTGTCAAATGCCATAATGGTTTCCCAGTGTGTACAGTGGTGGAGTTCCCAGTTGTAAAACAGGTTTGGAAGCAGGAGTGGCTTCCGCTTCTAAACCACATGGCCTATGGGAACTCTATGAACTTGGAGAAACGACCATAGTTATAGAAAGGCATTAGGTCTTTTGTTCATATAGTCTCTATGAGTTGTGCTTGATTCGAAGGCAATCAACAATATTGAAGAAAGGTTCACTGTCCTGGTGGTCTGTAGATAAAAGGAGTGGAAATACATCTAAGGATAAGTAAATAAGTATAGAAATAGTAGGATTTCTTGAGAAAAGACAAAACTGTATCTGGAAGCATTGAGAGGAACAAAAAGTGTTTCTGTTCCAACTGTTTGCCAACAGCTGTAAAATAATTAAATTTTTTGCACTTTTATTTTAGATACACAGAAGTAAAAACAAGTGGAAATTTCACCTCAAGGATGGCATTATGAATCTTAATGGAAGAGATTATATATTTTCCAAAGCCATTGGAGATGCAGAATGGTGAAGAAGTGCTTTTTTTTTTCTTTTCTAAATAAAACAGACTTTAAAAAATGAAGTGGACAATTTGAAATTTGGGACATATACCAACCAAAGCTTAACTTCTGCCTATCAGAAAAGTGCAGTAGAAGCAAAGCTACTTGGAACCAAGACAGACTTTGACAAAATAGACACTACTTCTAACTGGCAAGCCATGGAACTGTAGCACCTGTGATTGTTGGGAGGGGGCAGGACTGGGTTTTGTGTAGGAAAACCATAATTGTCAATTTTGAATACAGGTACCTGCCACCACTAATTAGCATGTATAGCTTTGTCCATATTCTTTCCTCCAGTTTGGGTTAAATCAAAAGATACTTCTTAGAATGAACTGAAGAAACTTCCCTTTTGATAGATTGAATCTTCTTATTGTATGTGGTTATATTTGGTAAAAATTGCATATGAGCTTTTTACAAAAGGTAAGAATTATGGTGTTGAATTTGAATTCTCTTGTATGAGGAAAACAATTGAGAACTCTCATAACAGGTCGTAAATATTTTTACTTGGTATTTTCCCCTTAGTAACATATACCACTTCCCTGCTTCATAAAACATCTGTTCAGGAATGAAAGGAAATAATCAGTCATCACATTTAATTTGGAGACAACATTTGATTCAGAAACGAATTATTTATTTTAATTAGGCATTCGTACATATTAAAGATAATTTGAAGACTTGAGTTTTGCTTGAGTTGAATTAAAGTAAATTTCCTCTTAAAAATAATACTTTAGTCTCACATGTTTAGAAAAAGTCCAAACTTGGCTCTTCAGAAAAGTTTTATTTCAAAAAGATACATTCTAGCTGAAACTGTAGACAGACAGTAGATAAAGCTTTTTATTGTTGGGGTGAAGTTTATACTTATGAAAGGATTTAGTCTTTAAAACAAAATTCAGATAATAGTCTGTCTATTTATGGAAGCATGGGGCAGGTAGTTAGGTCCTGGATTGTTCTATTACTCAGTTTAGCAGTTAAAATAGTTTCTTGTATTTACTAGTAATGAATGGAGAAGTTACTATTCTAACTGAACAAAAAATTTTTTTGAAAGGACTTTGTAAATTGAAAGGAAATTGTTGAAGATCAATGGCCACTAAATATAAATTTATCTATTCATTTGGTGGCCCTTCCGGGCCATTGATAATAAGACATGGGCTCCAGTTTTGCACATCAGGAAGAGCGCAACAAAATTTGCTGTCTACATTAAAAATAGAAGTTTAATATGTATATAAGAATAACATAGCTCTGAATTCTGTAAAATGCTCTAAAAGAACGATATGACACGACGCAGTGCAGTGTTCATTGTGAACTAGCTGCCAGGGAGAATTGTGGGAACACTTGTCTTCACCTTTGTGTTCTTGTAACTAAATCAACATTTTATGGTATTATATCTTTGACAAAATTCATATTTTAAGTTGTGTGTGTGTGTGTGTGTGTGTGTGTATATATATATATCTTTATATTTTTAGTCTTCCATTTATTTTCCTTTTTGTGTTACCAGAAGTAACATATAAACACTTTAAATTACATTGCAAGGAAGAAAACTGTGAGCTATTATATAGTGTATTTTCTTTTATTAACACGAATTTTTAAACTTCTCAAAAAGCCTAATCAATTTTTGGCCTACTTTTCCACCCCAGTTACCAGCTTTCTCCCTCTAAGTTATGTTTTGAACTTTGTTCTAAATGCTAGATTAGCTTGCTAGTAGTTAAAGAGCTTTATTTAGATTCTATTATTGTGAATACGGTTTTTAAGTTGACCTGTAGTTCTTGAGATTTGTTTGTTTACCCCATGACTCTTAAAGCACACACAGTTTTTAATTGATACTAAGAGGGAAAGGGGGAAAAGGGAGGGAATGAAATCAGCAGTTAATTGTTCAGTTATCCTGCAGTAAAATTGCGAGTGGGTTTGAATTCACCCAAGGAAGACATCGATGACCTGAACTACCTATAAAAGTTTAACAGGCTGCAGTGCTGACTGAGTGAAATGTTGTGATTTGTCTTGTTGCTCTTTGGCTACTGAACCTGAATTACTGTATATTTAACTCACATGTTGGGCCCTCTTTGTAGCCGAATACTTGTATTCATAGTAGCATTGTTTTGTAACTTTTTTCCAAACTTGAGCAACCACTGCTTTCAAATGATACTGTTTATTTTGAAGCAGAAAAGAACCATTTGTATTTGCACCTGTGTATTGCATATTAATATGGCATGCTTGGCAAAATTATTTTATTTTACCTGTGAAGATTCTGAAAGCCTTGTCCAAACAACTCTGCGTACGAGATTGTGCTCTTCCATGTTCCTTCGTTGCGTTTCCTTTTTAATCACATAGCAGGCTTCTATGATAGTGGTTTGCTGTGAGACTGTCACTAGCTTATCTTTTCTTGTACTTGAATTTTAAATCATGTTTTTAACATGGGCTTAAATAATTTCAATGGGTTCTATAAAAGTGTCATTTTCTTTGAAAAGGCAAGGGATTTCCACTTTTCAGAGTTTCAAAATGAAAATATGTTTATTCAAAGGGGAGGCAGAACAATTTGCACAGGTGGTGATGGCATCTAAAACCAAATCCCAAACCTGTTGCCATGTAATCCATTCCACCTTATCACAGCCCCCAGGGAATAGGATAACATTGTCCCGAAAGGGCTTTCTCAGCTCCAAGCCATCCTGGAAGGAGGTTACTACATTGTGGAAAGGGTTTTGGGTCCAACTGTCAACCTTTTGGTTGGTAGGTAGGTGAGTGCTTTAACCACTGTGCTGCAACCAGTGCGCCTACATGACACCTTAAAACATTTACATTCATTAGTAGTGCAAAGGAAATATTTAAAAAATTTCTAGATAAAGTGGAAATGTGTGCCTTTCTGTATACATATTCTTGCTTGGTGGTCATTTGGATACGCAGTGACCACTTGAATGCCTGCAAGCACATTTAATTTCTGTGGAGTGCCACATGCAGCTAAAACAACTAATGTGCAATTAGTTTCTAGAGTAAGTGTCTGTTATATGAAGGGGGTCTTTATATTGGGCTTTTATAATTTTTGAATGTTCATATTTCTGTTAAATGCCACCATAACACATTTACATTATTGCCTCTTTAAAATCAGAGTCACCTTGATGTTTCTTTTTGAAATAACGTCAAGATTTAAGCAGTGTGTATAGTAATTAAACTACGTTCTTGAAGAGCATATTTCTAATAGATTGTTTTAGAAAACAAGATCATAAAAATATTACAGCTTTTGTATAAAGATTTTCTTTTGCTACTGAAAATCAATGATTTGGTTTTCTTCTCACCCCCCCCCCCCATCTTCTATGGGGGAATGAAAAGGATTGTGTCTGAAGTAATTTTTTATTCTCTCATAGCAATAAAGTCACCATTTTTTTCCAGAGAGGAAATAAACCTCATGCAGGAAAACACATCGTTTTCCTCTTGAGACTTCCCTTTGTAAGTTAACATTTTCCTCCACTTGAGAAAATACTTGTGTTTTCAGATTATTTCACCCTTAGGTTTTTGAGCTTTTGTGCAATGTAATGATTTCTTGATTTGTCTTTGTATGTTTTCATTTTATTTCCTATCTCCCTGGCTGAATCAGCCATTTCACATTTTAAGCTCATCAGTTGAGAAAATGGTTTTTATCTATTTTTGTCATGAGTTTGATAGTTTCACATTTTAATCCACTATTGTATTATGGAAATTACTATGAAGTTTATATTCTTCCCCTTATAAGCTTGCCCTAGTCTTGTCATTTCTCATGGCTTAAGGAAGAACACACCAAACAATTATTTTCCATTTGTTTTGAGAACTAAAAGTAATTCCTGCCGTCCACCGCTCCCACCCCCCTTCACCTAAGGGAAGAACTACATTGAGTTAGTAAATACTCTTGGAATCACCATCCCTTAAATCAGTCCAGGATGCATCAGGGCTATAATTCTGGGGAGAAGCTAATCTTACCTTTTGTTGTTCTGAGCTACTATTGTCAACTGCTGTTGTACATACTATTATGTGTAAGGGCGTAAATATATTTATTATGTTTGTTAAATTCATTCTGCATAATTGCAGATTAAGGTTGCTCTTCTGTGATATACAGGATATTATGTTTTAAAGACCATCCTTGGAATACAATTAGAGAACTTAGTATTTTGATGTACTAAGACCTATTTTAAGTTTAATATTTTACCTTTGCAAAAACTTTAATTAAAGATGTTATTTAAAAAAAATGTTCCTTGCTTTACTTATGTATCTCGTTGTTAACATAGATGATGGGATGAAAATTACATGGTTTAGAAAGAAATGATCTACGTTGTTATTGGGCTCCATTATCAAAGAGTATCATTAAATTCTATACATTTGAAGTACCTAGGATGGCATGCCTGTCTATTAAACTATTACATAGCCTTAATATAAGCTTTTAAAAAGATTGGTAGTATTTTTCCAGGATACATAGTAATTTAAGGTAAACTAAACTTAGACCCACTAAGTATAAATATTAATTTGCTGTGATTAATGTATTAAATAAATATTTCCATTTCAAAGAGCAAATTACGTAGGATGGAATGGTTTAACATTCTTGTTCTCTTATTTTTGTTTACCTAAATCTTTCCTTCATAGTTTAGACTTTGTAAATAATTGCATATTAGAATTGGATTATTGAGATTTGTATTACATATTGAAAATTGTTGTATTTTGTGCTGTCGATTCGCCTACGACTCATAGCAACCCTGTTGTCTCTGACACGCCTGTCTCCATTACCCCAGTGGTGGAATCATTCCATCTCATTGAGGGTCTTCTCTCCTGCACTGTCCCTCCATCCTTCCAAGCATCAGCCTCCCCTGGGAAACTCTGTGGCATAAGTGGAGGAGAAGACACCCTAAGGCACAGTAAGTCAATCCTGGAGCAGAAGTTTAAAACTCCTGAACTCGAGATACTGCTCTTAGAGGAAGAAACTGGCAGCAGCTTGAGGCGTTAGGAATCACAGAAGCCAGAAAGATTGCCATAATAGACCATTGCATCAAAGGCTGGATAGGGGAGATAGTTGTTGAATAGAGTAGGTGGTGGTAGATGTAAATGCTGGTGGAGCAGGGCACGGGGTGGCTTAAAACACTCCTG